AAAAATAAAAAAAAAAAAAAAAAAAAATGGACTCTCTTTTGTTTCAACACAATTATTCTTAAAAAGAAACGGTAGTACAGTGGAGACGTAGTATAGTTGGGACAATTATAGATGATATCTAATAGTGATTAAAATCACGATCATAAGAAACACTTTGTTGCAAATGTATACATACTGTATAATTTAAAAAAATTGGCACACGAGATGGGCACCGACGTGTGCATCATCTCGGACCCGCACGCCGGATCAATCCGGGACTCTGCCGGCTGGTTCTTGGACCGGTCCGGCAGAGCGGCGATCGGTGTGATAGACCGCGGCCTGACGGTCGCGGACATTGAGTCGGACGACAGTTACGTAGTGGCGAGGATAGACGGCATGGACGTCATGAGCTGCTACGCGCCGCCCAGCTTCAGCCGATCCAGCAGTAGGAGAGTAAGACCGAAGCGGTCTTTTTCACGGCCAGGTACAAGTCAACTCCTCCACGGCTCGCCGTGCTGGGGGTGGAGATCCCGCTTAAGGACTCCATGACTTATCTGGACCTTGTCATAGACAAACGTCTAAAGTTCGGGCCCAGAAAGTCATGAATTGCTTGGCGGGACTCATGCCCTATCTGGGAGTGTCGAGAGAGATGCGGCGTAGACTTTTAGTCAGCGTCGTACACTCGGTTCTCCTGTACGGGTCCCCGGTTTGTGCGGATACTCTTGAGTAATCGTCCAAAAACCGTGAAGGCCTGCTCAGGGTGCAAAGGCGGGTGGTAATCCGGACAGTTTCGGCTTACCGAACAGTGTCCGGAGTGGCGGCGGGTATCCTGTCGTCACTGCCGCCCGCCGATCTGCTCACTGAGGAACGCGCCACCGGGCATGAGCTCCGCTGAGAGCGCAACCGGTCCCTCGAACCCGAGGATCGGCTGGCGCTCAGGCGGATGACCATGCTCCGGTGGCGGACTCGCCTCTCGGAGGAAACGAGAGGTGAGTGGACCAGGTCCCTCATAGGACCCGATCGGCTGGACAGGTGGGTAGACCGGACTCACGGTGAGATGACTTATCGTCTCACCCAAGTGATGTCCGGCCATGACTACTTTAACGAGTACTTACACCATATTCGTAAAGCAGCCGCGCCGACGTGCGACCACTGTTCGGATCGCCCGAGTGAGGCTGATAGCGCTTTGCACACCCTCTTCCAGTGCGAGGCGTGGGCCCAGGAACGGGACTCTTTGGAGTCTCGACTAGGGTCCACGTTTCGAGTCGGGTCCATGGTGGACCTGATGTTGAGGAGCCGGGAGGCGTGGAGCCTCGTCCAGGCGTTCGCCGAATTCATCTTGAAAAAGAAGGAGGAAGTGGAACGCCTGAGACAGAGGCAGCCTCGCCGCCCGGCACAGGAGGACCTGAGGCGCTGGTTTAGGCCGGCACCTTAGGTATTCGTGTTTCATGTTTTTGTTTCGTGAGTTATTTGTGCCCCCTTCGCTTTAACGGGGGAGGCCACACCACATTGTGAATCAGCTCTTGATTAATTTCGGGCTGATTCACAACGTGATGGTGTAAGTCTTAAAGACGGCGTGGGCCGCCCTGAAGTAATACCTAACGGTAGTTCCAGGGCGGTCCATAATCAAGCCGATCGGAGAGAAAAAAAAAAGGGTTAGTTACTGTTCGTTTCTGGAGTATCTATATCATGCAGGAGAAAAAAGTAGGGAACGGACTGTATACATTAATAAAATTAATTTAGGAATATAAAACAATTAATTGTATTAAAAGTTTACACCAAAATACAATATAGATCAATGTGGGTAGGGGGACTATTAATGCTAATGCAACAATGCGTAAAAGAAAACAAATAATAAGAGTAAAAAATTAGATAAAACAATATGATTACAAAACTACTTATGCGATACTAATGATGATGACTGGTTATAACAAGAGCATGCGGGTGATGTCGTTGATATAACAGTTGAACTGTCAAAATGTACGGGCGCTAATAATAGTACAAGATATACGAATTTAATTATCGATGAGCGTATCGCAAGGGCGATAAATCAACGTGTTTAAAACAACTACGGACTTGCAAGTATCGTAGAACCATCTAATAAACGAATTATGGATGGCGGCGAAAAACGCAAAATTCACCAAAGGGAACCACCGATAACAACTCAGCGAGATAAAAGAATCACATACACTAGCATCCAACGTAATAATGAATCGCTCACACAACAGGTGGTGGTAGTGCAAGTGGCGTTATCAATCATAACAAAAAATTTAAGAAAACGCCCTCTCGTGATACGTATTCAACAAATTATGAATACAGAAAAAATTAAAAATTATGATTAAATATTTACAATTGTTTTGAATTAAAATAATCATTTTTTGATGACATATATTTATATGCATAAATTGTGATAGTTAAAAATAGATAAAAATTTATGAAAAGTCGAATTCTATTGAATAATAATTTTTAAAAATGTATTTCAGAAATAATTTGATATACCAAGGACAAGACCCAAATTATTTTAACGCAAAAGAGATAAGACCATTTTTGGACCCCAGCAGGTCATTATATCTATATTATATATCATTCAGTAAAATACCCATCATATTATCGAATGATTCATGTATAAAGAACAATTAAATAATAGTATGTTATATTGATTTTTCCAACATCACCGTATTATCAATTTTAACCAAAAAATTGAAAAACTTATTGACTCTTACTTGTCTTTTATTTATAAATCTTGATATTATTAATTTAGAATCATTAAATTTATTTAATATAATGTTTAGAAAATATGGTTTGCTATCATAATACATCGTGTTAATAATTTAGAATCACTGAAAAATTACGCATAAAAAATTCTAAATACTTTAGTAAAATTCGTATGTATTTGCTTGAATAAGATATCTACAAAATAAAAGGTAAATAAATTTATAATTACATCTTTAATAAGATCATTGTATTCAAATGAATCAATTAACGATTTGTATTCCGAAAACTCTATAATACCATTGTTGTTTAAGACAATTCTAAAAAAATGATGGAAAACGATATCTAAGTCATATTTATCCAGTCTCATTATCTAAAAATTGAAAATAATTTAATACTGAGTCTGGTAAAAAGATAATAAACTAATTAATATATAATTGTACTTCTTTTTGATCACCAGGTAGTTTTATACCATCACCCGCCTTATCATATTGATACATAAAATGAAGAATGTCGTTAACTCTTTTATTTTCATGAACTATAACGTATATAACACTTTTAATATAGTATGATTATATATCCATATATGTATAATATAATATATAGTTATATTAACTTGTAATGTTAAATTTTTTTACTCATAATTTTAAAAAATATCTATAGGGAATTTTAAGGGATTATATTTGAAAAATCAAAAGGAATTACATACAATATTTTTTGTGTAAAATTTATAGTTATTATTTTTATAAATAATTAGTGTAAAAAAAATGACCCTATAATAAATTTTGAGCTCTTTTAATTTGAAAGACAATTCAATATTTTAGTATTATTTCAGTATACAAGAAAAATTCAGTTAAAAAGTAAAAATTTGTAAACTTTTGTTATTCGGAATCTAATAAAAAATTAAGCTAAAAAATATAATGTTATAACATATATATCAGTGACAGTTCTAAAATTTTTTAAGTAGTGAACAAGTATTATAGGAGCGATAAGTGATAAAGTGATAAGGAAATTGTCCTCATCTATTTTTTGTTTTTGTGCTCCAGAGTAAGTGTTAAACAAAATAAAATAAAAAAAACTTGTATATAGAATGAATAAAATTTTCAAAAAATGTATAAAGTAATTATTCATTTTCACAATTTTTTTAAAATAAATATAGCTAGAATTATGTAGTCATTAATTATGTAACATATGTATAAGTAACTCAATATATGTAAATATAAAAGTAAATTATTTTTAGGTTCATAATTTTTTAATAATAAGGAAAATGGATCGCACGTAAGTTTCTATGGTTATTAAATAAAATTAAATGATTTTTAAACAAAAAATCTAAACAGTGAACCAAACAAATATTTTTTACAAATCAATATCAATGTATTAAATCATCATGTATTGATTTTTTTTTGGTGACAAAACTAATAAATAACTAATAAACTTGTTCGGCTACTCAAGTAAACATTTTTGTCTCAGTATTAACAACGAGTGAAAGTATTACTCCAGTACTGGTAACTGGCCATTTGCTAGCCCTTAATAGTGTAGTATTGGCTGGCGTCTTATTTAAGTATTGATCCAGTATTGTACTTCAGTACTTAGCTACAATTGCTGACATAAGACTGACATAATACTGGTTATAAAAAACCTGATCTGACAGTACGAAAAACGATATGCCAAACATATACCAGTGTCGGTCTAATACTGGTAGCCGTTACTACAACAGAACTTCAAATGTGTACTGCAAATCATAGTGCTGTACATGTGTGTTAATGAACACCTGCATGTATATATGACTTATCAGTGAGGCAACAACTTCGCCTTATTCAGCTGCTTAAATAAGAATTTTTATAAATTTTAAACTTCATCCGTCTCACTGGTTGATAATTTTATGTTTTCAAATGATAGCACATTTTGAATTTAATAAAATAATCGAGTTTTTAATTTAATAGTAAATGGTATTTGAATTTTTAATATAACATTATTCGTTTATTAGATATAAAACTTTAAAGTTTCATATCGTTGAGTTAATATACATGTATAACACAGAAGGTTATTACAAATACAGGTAGCTAATTGGTTTTTCTATGACGTCGCTATCACAAATACGGAGCGTTTATTATTAAAAGTAAGGCACATTTTTTTGAGTCAATATATACACCAACAGACAATACAGAAAGCATATCTCTTGATAAAGTCATAATTGATAATAATTACTGCATATCTGTGATAGTGGCACCATAAAGAACCATTACCAACTAATATAAACTTGGTATCTACGGTATTAACTCTATTTTTTTAAATGGAAACATACATATTTACCTAACTTATAAAACAGAAAATTATGTAATTTAGAAAAAGACTGGTTGATAACAAATTATAGATCATTAGTTCAGAAGTTATTAACAAAATAAAGTATTTGTCCAAAAGATGTTATTGATCAATGGTTTTAATCACATCAGTTTCTATTTTATAGAATATATAAATATGTATGTTATCATTAAAAAAAAATAAAATTCACACCGCTTTATCACATATGAGAAAAACATGTATAATATTTTATAACAGTTAAATTGAGTTACATATGTAACTATCGAAAGCCAAAAATGAAGTTCACATAGAAATTATTATTTTAAGTGATATTGAGTGGCTAATCCTCATAGAATCTTTCTGTATAAAACTTTATGATAAAAAAACAAAGCTAAAAATTATACGTAATATATACCTTCAGTGTTATAGTGGTATTCTTCATTGATATTAAAACATTGTATCACTTTATTTACTTCTCCTATTTTATTAAACTTTTTTACCAGTATTCGCAAGAATTGTATTTGGATTGCATTAAGTCCATTGCTCTTTAAATTATTATGTATTATATTTGTGAAAAAAAAAAAAAATATATAAATAAATACTTACCATTGTGTCGGTAAAAAAACATACTAAACAAAAGATTATTATAGTTTTTAAATGCATTACACTGATTTTAAGAAAATAACAATTTATATAATATTATACAAATGTTTAAATTCTAGCTGAATAATTTTACGTATATTGTTTTGAAATTTATACTAAAATATTGTAAATATTTATTAATTATTCTAGTATAATCTTTTTCGTAAAACAACAAATAGATATTAATGTATTTGACATTATAACAATTAGTCTTCATAAATCACATATTTAATAATTTCAATAATGATATCACCTAGTGTTTAAATTTACTTTTCGAGATGTAAAAAACACATTAAAATGCAAATACAATGTTATATGGTTAAAGCTTGAAAAATGATCTTTTTCTTGACAAATTAACGAAAATGTATAGCTATATATTTGTTTACGATTTTTTAAAAATCAAATTAAAAAAAAAAACGTTAGCACATTTGGGTTAAGGCACATTGTGGCCGCAGTATAGTTGGAACAAGTATTTTTCAATACTTCGAATTTTTTTTAATTTTATAGAGGGATTTAATACTAATACTGTCCCGTACAATTTTATTATTTTTTATTTCCTTTGTAGCTTTTTACGAGGATGAGATTGAAATTTTATATATTTTTATTTTTGAAATGTTAGTAATTGTAGATATAATCAAGAAATTAAGCGTGGTATTGAGCGTAAAAAGAGCTCAGAGGGTTCTGAGGGCTAAGCCTTCAAAATTTTCTATTAACCCCCCACAAATTCAGAGATATAGTATGCATTATTATCTAAAAATTATTTTCTTGAGGAAGGGAAATTAAATTTAACCCCCCCCCCTCTAAAAAAAATTGACTACCCTACGACTATAGAAGTGAGGATAAATTTTTCCAATTTCCATATACTTAATTTATTGTTGGAAGGAATTAGATGATTAATTTTCATTTTAGTCAAAATTAATTTCTGTCAGATATATAGTTGTATATACAGGGTGATTTTTTTATCATAACCCACTCAATTACTCGCAGAATAATAATAATTTAAACCTTTTTTTGTTTTATTATCTTTAGTTACACATTATTCTTGAATTTTTAACTATGTAATACTTTTTAAGTTCATCCCTTATGCCTTGGAGGGGGGTCAACTTTGTTTTTTTAAATGGTAACACATATTTTTAATTTAATAAAATGTTTGAGTTTTTAATTTAATGGTAAATTGCATTTGAATTTTTAATATAACTTTATTAGCTTATTAGATATAAATATTTAAAGTTTCGAATTTTTGAGTTAATATACATGTATAATACACATGGGATTGTAAATACAGGTAGTTAAAAATTCAAGAATAATGTGTAACTAAAGATAATAAAACAAAAAAAGGTTTAAATTATTATTATTCTGCAAGTAATTGAGTGGGTTATGATACAAAAATCACCCTGTATAGTAGGGTGGTCCTTATTTTTCAACTTAGGAAATTATGAACAACTAAATTGTAATATCTATATAAACAATAAGGGTTACATAGAAATGATTACTAAGACTTCTATTTAAATCATTCATTACGATAACGTTACAAAAAATATTGTGATTTTATCGAAATTTTGAAATTTTATGATAAATTTATTTTTAATAGTAATTAAATAAGTTTCTGATCACATATCAATCTGAAAATACAATTTTTGAAATTCTCATAAAGTATTCTATTTTGTTACATCAGTTCTAAACTTGATAGTTGAACTATTCATTATTATTTTTTCATGTGTAAACACTTCTTTACTAATTAGTAATAATCACAAAAAAGAAATAATAGAAATATCTAATTGCAGATTTGTAATCGGTGCAAAAATGGGATTAAAAAAGTATATTTGGGTCTCTCATAAAATGTTCAAATAATGATAAATTGATGATGAAATGATATTATTTAATATATAAAAGGTTATCATTAAAGTATTATTGTAACCAAATCACTTTTGTTTATTCAATTAACTAATAATCGTTTTAACGAACATAGCAAAACTAAATTGTTTTTTAAGTACTAGTAACTATAGCCTAGTGGCCAAAAGTTCTAGGGTTGGTACATTATTAGCCTTAAAATGAACTGAAACAAAATTTTAAGATTATGGACAGGATTATAAATAATGATTATAATTATTTTATAAACTAATATTATTCTATTTTGTATAGGAACTATGGTACTGGCCCGTACAATTTTATTATATTATATTTCTTTTGTAACTTTTTACGAGGATGAGATCGACATTTTAATTTATAGGAAAGAGGATTGCAATGAAAAATAATTATAATGATAAAAAGGACTCACCACTAATCTATGTTTATTAATTATCTCTAAAAAATATATCTCACAGAAATTAATTTTGACTAAAATTAAAATTTCATCTAATTTCTTCCAACAATAAATTAAGTATATGGAAATTAGAAAAATTTATCCACAATTCTATAGTCGTAGGGTAGTCGATTTATTTGGTGGGGCTCAATTTAATTTTCCTTCATCAAGAAAATAATGTTTAGTTAATAATGCATACTATATCTCTGAATTTGTGGGAGGTTAATAAAAAATTTGGAAGGCTTAGCTCTCAGGCCTCTCTTAGCTCTTTTTACGCTCAATATCCCGCTTAACTTTTCGATTACATCTACAATGTTAACATTTCAAAAAATAAAATTTCAAACATAGTTATATATTTGTTCATCTATATATGAACCTATAAAATTCGTCAATTTTGTTTGAAAGAGAATAATCATAAATCATATAAACAAAGAAATTTTTTTTTACTAAATGTTAAAAAAGTGATACAATATTTAAATATACATATTTCATTTATACCAATAAATTTTTTCACTAATATAACTATTTATAAAATATCTTCAAATTTTTTTTAATTTTATAGAGCGATTTAATACTAATACTGTCCCGTACAATTTTATTATTTTTTATTTCCTTTGTAGCTTTTTACGAGGATGAGATTGAAATTTTAATTTATAAGGAAGAGGAATGCATAGAAAAATAACTGTAATGATAAAAAGAGCAACGACTCACCACTAATCTATGCTCATTAATTATCGATTAGTCCTTTTCTTAATTAGATTATTATCCATCATATAAGACATTTAAATGTATATTGCAATTTGAAAAAGTTAAGTTTTCACTCTTAAAAAAATAAGGAATGGAACTAAAAAGTATATAATGATTAATAAAATAAACATTTATTGACACATAATTACACCATTAAAACCATAAAACTAGTTAAAAACATAAATAATTACAAAGAACTTAATATTAGGAAGGTAATAGAAATGTTTAAAAATAAAAACATTTTAATTAATTGGGATCTTGGCCCACTGAAAAATTAATTTTTAAACATGTGTATACTGGCAAAATGTGTTAATATTATTTAGTGATGAAGACACAAGGTGATAAGGTCACTAGAGGTTTATAAGGGAGTTTTTTCCCTGTCAGAATATATTTTGCGTTGATAATGGTAACATTATTTCCAAAATACATATGTGACTTTTCAATAATTTTTTGTGGCTTTTGAATTTAATATTTTTAATATTTTTTAGTACTTAAATAAATTATATTTTTCATATAGTTTTAATTTTTTCAACTTAACTTATGAATATGTTCCGGAAATACTGCGTGCTTTAAACATATATTATATTAAAGCTCACAATAAATACTATAAAATGAAAAAAAAATTTATCCCGACATCTTATCTTCTACGTGCAATCGGCTGTAAAATTTTCGATTTTTGATTTTAAATTGTTATAACATTTCGAAAAAAGTACGTATATGGTACGTATACAGGTGTATTTTCGTCTTGGTCTGCGTCAGTTTGTTTAACACTTTATCATGTTCAAAAGGCATGAACGCTATAATTATATAATTAAAATTAGTCACAATTAATTAGCCAAGCGATCAATTTATTATAATGTATTTGTTGAATAATGTATGTAGAAACACAAAATATTTTTTTCTAAATACACTACATATATATTTTTCATTTAACATACTATTTATTTAAATTAGACAATTTTACTTTATACAGGAGCTTTCAAAACTTGAAAAATACGTATAAAAAGTAGAAGTTTTTCTACTTAACTTTTGAAAATATTCTGGGAATACTGCGTCCTTTAAACATATGTTAAAATATATCTTACAATAAATTCAATAAAATCAAAACAAAATTTTTTCCGTCACCTTTTCTTCTATCAAAAAATGGCCTTCGAATTTAACAAAAAATGTAATCTTTATGTAAAAATCACTGTTTAACATAAAATATTATAATACTTAAAACTGCCATAACTTGTTGAAAAATGAACAAATTAAAATTATTATTTTTATATTGAAACCTTAGATATTTTTCTTTTATTTGATATAATTTTATTGAAAATCTGACTCTAAACCTGCACGCAGGGGAAATTCATAAAAACAATTTTTGTACACAAGTTAAGCTTTTTCAATGTAATTTTTGAAAATATTCCGAAAATATTGACACTTTTATTTAATTTTACATTAATACTTATATTATTATTTCGAATAAAGTTCATAAGACATAAGAAGTTAAACTCATTAAAATTTTTTTGCTTGCTAAAGTCGAAAATGTAACTTAAAAATTTGAATTAGCTTAAATTGCCAATTTTATTATTCAGCGAAAGTGACGAACAATTGCTGAATCGGTAACACTACTGTCTTTCACGGTTAGGGTTCAAGGTTCGAATTCACCTATGGCAATTTATATTTTGCATTTGTTTTAAGTTGTAACGTGACAAAATATGAATTTTTATGGTATAGATAAATTTAATGTTTTACTTTGCTAATGGGAGCGCGTACGTTACATCCGGCCGTGTAATCAAAAAACTGTAATGTTGCTGTCAAGGTAAACGCTATTCAACCAATATTCTCTATCAGTTTAATAATCGTTCCCTATATGGCACATACACTGACCACCACTGTCAATACCTGTATAATTTTAATATTGTCATACTTTTATCTTTTTTATATTTTGTAAATTGTTAAGCCGATTACCCAAACGTAATCGTCGTCGTCGTTGTGTCTCGCTTGGTGCGTAAAAAAAAATTGTGCTCTCTTCCCTTTGAATCACCAGTGTGGTATTTTGTTGCTATGTGCCTACAGCCAACATTCATTTTTTTTCGTGTGTGTCGTTTTGTAAAATTATGTATTAACTTTTGTAAGGCGTCGGCCATTTTCTGGGGCCGAGATCCTCATCTTCGGATGAGTCCCATCCGGGACTGGGTATTGTATTGTTTTTATTTAATGTAATGTTTTGAGCCTTTTCTGTTTTAAATTCATTTTTTTTTATGAAATGTATATAAACTTTAGCTAGTATTGATATTTATAAGGTTTTTGGTCAGTGGTGTGTCATGTATATTTAACACATATATATATTATTCCCTCAGTGCCCAAGTACGGTCCTGCCGGCTCGATTACAAAAATTATCGACCGCGCCCGGAGTACACGGACCTGTTCCGGTGAGGAAGACACTTCACGTGTAATGTTTAAAAGTTGTAGGTTAAAATTTTTTTTTTCTTAATAATTGTTTTTTTTCTCTCTTGTCCCTTCATTTTCAGAGTGGTTTTTGGCTTCGGGTTTTGTCCACTATTAACTTAACTGTAATAATTTAATAAAGTCCCCTTAATTTTCTTAATCAACAAAAATCTTTTTATTGCGTGAATATCTTCAATATTCATGTGTATCTTATTTTTTTTTACCTTTAAATAATTCTCCCTAGTTTTAAGGTAACGGTCATCGACATACTATAGTGTGTCCACCACTGGTGACATCAAACAAACATATTTTGTTTTATTTACAAGGGTATTAGTGTATTATAGTCTACAAAAACACTTAATATTTTAGTAGGTATACATATATATAATTTTTTATTTGACGATCCACTTGGTCTCGTCATAGTGTATATTATTTCATTTAATATTATTGGTTTACTTTTTGTTTTGTTTTTTTTTTAAATCTACTTATGTCCGAGTGTTGTTTCTCAGTTTGACCAAGCTTGAGTATAATTGGGGATTTGATCAATTGGTGAACATTTCTTTCATTTTGTGAATTGCTTCAATTAAGAATTTTTTTTATTTCTTCAAATGGAATGTCTATTTAATAAGTACATACCAAAATCTACCTTAGGACATCTAGCGGTTAAAACTGTAGGTAAAACAATAGTTTATGATGACATGCCACTAAGGAAATCGTAGAATGTATTTTAAATTCGTAAAACAATAGTTTATGACGAGTCACTAGGGATTGATTCTCATATTCTGTCACGTTCTTTTTGGCAAGCATTTTTAGACTCTGTAAGGTCCGTGCATCGATGAGTATAATCTCAGATGGTGTAGCCAGCCTATTTCTAAATCTGTCGTTTCTCACAACGTTTTTTACAACAAACGATCAAGCTAGCTGGATACAAGGTGAGAAATCATTTCTAAGCTTGTCATAAAAATATTAAAGATAGATTTAAAATAAGTGAAGAATAATTTTTATCCAGGGAATAATAGAATTGCTTATAAAAAAAACCCAGCACAGGGGGGTCGCGGAACAATGGTGACGTGGCATAGTTGGATCTAGTATAATNCGCGGCACAGTGGTGACGTGGCATAGTTGGATCAAGTATAATGATATCTGACAGTGATTAAAATCACTATAAAAAAAAAACGCTTCGATGCAAATCTTTAGATAGTGTTTAATTTTAAAAAATTGGTGGATTATTCCAAAAGCTTCATAAAGTGCTAGTTCCTCAATAATATCCTGATTAAGATAAAGTATGTCAAATGAAAAAGGGATTAATGAAAAATAGTATTTCCTATAAAAAAATTATATTGATCAATACACTTTTCAATAAGTTATAGAATTATAAAGTTAAAAATGTAAAAAATAAAATTGAGAATTTTCACACAATATAAGCATTTGGTAGCCATTTTCACCGTGAAGATAAAATAAAGTCCGAAATTTTTTTTTTTTCATGATAAAGTATATTACATTAGCTTTAATTTAAGATATATATAAAAGTGTCAGACCTTCCGGAACACTTTCAAAAGTTAAGTTGAAAAAATTAATTTTTTGTAAAAAAGTTGTCATTTTAAATCTCCCCCTGTAATTTTTTCGGATGTTTCCCCCATTTACGGGGAACGAAGGAATTTTTTTCAATTTTTGAGGGTAATGTTTTCGACTAGATACGATTTGTGATCTTTTGACGTATCATTGAAAGAAATCGGTTCGGTGAGAGCTGAGAAAAAGTGGTAACAGACACAAAAAAAAAAAAACACATCTTAGTAAAATAATACCTTCACAGCTTCGCATCGAAGCTAAAATAGATAATTTTAAAAATTATTTTTAACAACTATTTTATCATCATTCTAATCGAAATAATATGTATTTAACATAAATGTTTTATTTGTATTTAACATCCATATAAAAATAATTCAGCTATTAAGGCTTGGCGCCCAACAATCGGATAGTTGCATTTTACGTAAATACACATTGTTTCCTATATATATATATATATATATAATCGATAAAAAATATCAAGAGTCATAAAATTTTCCACCAGAATAACTGCACATTTCATAGTAGAATTAACATTATTCGAGTTAATGTCATCCGTGTGTAATTTTCAGGGGGGATTTTAAATGACAACTTTTTGAACTTGACTTGAAAATGTTCCGGAAAGTCTGACATGTTTATATATATCTTAAATTAAAGCTAATGTAATGTACTTAATTCTTCAAAAAAAATAATTCGGACTTTATTTTGTTTTCACGGTGAAAATGGCTACCAAATGCAATTATTGTGTGAAAATTCAAGATTTTATTTTTTACATTTTTAACTTTATAATGCTATAACTTATTGAAAAGTGTATGGGTCAACATAATTTTTTATGAGAAATAATTTTTTTTAATAATTCCTTTTTCATTCGATGTACTTTATCTTAATCAGGATATTAATAAGGAACTAGCAGATCATGTAGCTTTTGATATAATCCACCAATTTTTTAAAATTAAGCACTATCTAAAAATTTACATCAAAGTGTTTATTTTTGATAATGTTTTCAATTACTGTCAGATATCATTATACTTGATCCAACTAACTGAGCCCTCTGTGCTGGGTTTTTATTTTCATCTTGTAACTAAGCAAATTTAACTAACTCATTGATTCTATCTTATTACCATATCCTATCTCTCTTATTCATGATAAAACATCGTTAATTATATATTGAACACTTGCTGCTACTTTTACTTTTCATTATAATCATATCATTCCTTCCCTTATAAAATTCTGCTCTCTTTTTTATGACAATATTATTCCTTTTCTTTCACCATTATAATGTACTTCTTTTTTTTTTATTAAGACACCACTCCCGGGTAATTAATTAAAATTATTCTAACCTATCATATTTACCAATTTCATCAATTATCCATTTATAGGTTCATAATAAATATGTTTGTGTAACTCTTTGATGTGAAATATGAAAAAAAATATTTACTTTTTTCAAAACAATTAAATATTCAAATAATATATAATAACAAAAAATTAAATGTTTATAACATGATAGCGGTATATTCTCAAAACTCATCAAACGGGGTGTTTGCTTTTAGCCAGTGACAATGATTACCAGCCCACTGTGTAAATCCATATCAAATCATCCAAAGTCGTTGCGCAACCATTTTATATTATTTTGAAATTTTACAAACGAGTTGTCTAGTATATAAGAAGAAAAAACTAAAAATTAAAAATTAAAAAAGTTTTACGAAAATTTATTTATGACTTATCAAAAATTTTAAATTATGAAATACTTGTAATTCGTAAAAATATACTTATGATAAAAGTATTTATATTNAAAATATACTTATGATAACAGTATTTATATTTAAGACTTGAAACTTACATCGTTTTTTTTTTATGCAATACTCTAACATATCCCATAATTACCAACACGTTTTTTAACTTTTAAGTTGGAAAATTTTGTTTTCTAAATTGAGCTTTTTTTTACAAAATAATATAATTTTCAAAGATCAAATGGACTATGAAATAACATTTTTTTTTAATTTCTAGATTATATTGTGTATATACAAAAGTTGAAGAGACGTTATCGTAATTAAATTGCAGTACATTCAACAAATCATTATTCAAGTGTAATAAGGTATATTCTTCTCATTTAAAATAATTTTGAATAATATCCTAGAAAAATCGAACAAAAATTTTCTATAATTTATTTATTTTTTTAATTGATCATTAATACATTTTTCATGTACTCAATATATTGAGGAATTTATATATATATATATTATATATGTACCTATACAGCAACAAAAACTAAGTAATGGAAAATCAGAAAGTTTTCAGTATTAAAAAAACCAAGATTTTTCATAAACTTAAAAAAAAACGTAATTTTGAAAGTTAATTTTTCGTAAGTTGCGGTCAAATATCAAACTTGAAATTTTTTTCATAGAAACTACATACATAGTACTATATTGTGTGAAAAAATCATATTAAAATATTTTGTTCCACCAGAGAAAAATTAAAATAAAAAAGCTTAAAAATAGATTTTTTAGAAATTCGAGCATTTTTAAATATGTCCCAATAAAAAACGGTAATAGTAAAATGTTTCTAAACACAATTAAATATTACTGTGAGTGTACGTTAATATTTAGGAAAAAAAATTAATTAAAAAAAAATGTTTTTTCATAGTCGATTTGATCTTTGAAAATTATATTATTTTGTAAAAAAAACTCAATTTAGAAAACAAAATTTTCCAACTTAAAAGTTAAAAAACGTGTTGGTAATTATGGGATATGTTAGAGTATTGCATAAAAAAAAAACGATGTAAGTTTCAAGTCTTACATATAAATACTGTTTTCATAAGGATATTTTTACGAATTACAAGTATTACATAATTTAAAATTTTTGATAAGTCATAAATAAATTTTCGTAAAACTTTTTTAATTTTTTCTTCTTATATACTAGACAACTTGTGTTGTAAAATTTAAAAAAAAAAATAAAGTGGTCAGACAACGACTTTGGATGATTTGATATGGATTTACCCCACTGTTATGTAGCACAGTCGGCCAGTCCGCCCCAGTTAGTAATGATGACCAATGCTTTTTGACTACTAGCTAAATATAATGGGGTGGGGATAAAAAATAAGTTTTATCGATACAACTATTTTTCGAATGAATTGGTTTTTAGTGTCTTTTATTTCTGAAATAAGTTAATAATAGTCACACTAAAAAAATAACGGTTATTATAATAACTACTCTAATAAAAACAGTCGGAATAGCTAAATAAATGGTTGAGTTAACCGATTATTGAGTTATTCCAATTGTCTTAATTTTAGTTATTATATTAACCGTTTATATAGTTATTCAACCAGTATTTTTTCTGTGCAATTTTTAAATTTTTTTTTTTTTTTTGAGCAAAATATAAATGATTAAAGTTACGATATAAAATTTTTATTCTATTTAGTGTGTTAATGAATACTAAATCCTAACGACCCAGTTGAGTTGTTTTTCTTTAAAATTTGATTCTATTATATTATACAAGTAACATTGTTCAAAAGAACTTATATTATCATAAACACATAAAATATGAGTTTTACTTGGAGTTGATATTTGAAAGATTCTTAATAAATTATAACAATATTCTATATATTGTTAATATTGCAAATTTATTTGAATAACTTTATAACAAAATATATTTATAATCAAGTAAGGAAAAAACTATTAAGCAGGTATTTTAATTTTATGATTAATAGAAAATTTGAATTAATAAACTGCCAAAGTATAAATTATACTTTTGATATTTTAAAATTTATTATATTTAATATCAATTTTAAGTTGATATCATAATTTATTATGTTTTTCTAAGTTATATAAACTCTAATTCAACACAAATTATTTATATCATAGTTTAATTTTGATTCTGGTAGAAAATAATGACGAATGTGCAAAAATAATAATTTTAATAAAAAGTATATTAAATAAGATTACAGGTAGACAAACAATGATATAATATCTTTGAAAATACTTGAAAATTAAAATATTAACACATACACATATATACAGGTTGGGTTGGTTTCATATATTGTAAAATATTTAATTAATAAAAGTATAAAAATTAGTATTGGTTTCTTCTTGGTACATGTTTATTTTAATTTATCAATCATAAAGTATTTTTCATGTTCATCCTTTATATCATATAATAATGTCAACAATATTCCATACATTGTTAATATTGCAAATTTATTTGAATAACTTTATAACAAAATATATTTATAATCAAGTAAGGAAAAAACTATTAAGCAGGTATTTTAATTTTATGATTAATAGATAATTTGAATTAATAAACTGCCAAAGTATAAATTATACTTTTGATATTTTAAAATTTATTATATTTAATATCAATTTTAAGTTGATATCATAATTTATTATGTTTTTCTAAGT